TGATGAACCGATACAACTCATCACCATGCCCGGACTGGAAGTCAGGGTGGCAGGCGAATGCTCTGACTCTCACGTCGGGTCCTCGATTTACAGTCGGCCATGGAGCGAAGTACAGCTCCAATAAGGTAATCCTCAAGGCTTTCTATCATTCAGGTTTGTTGGTGAATCTCAGGCGAAATCAAAATATCATCTGCAAAACACGAAGTATACCACGGGTGGAGGATATCGAGATACATGGGTAGTTATCTGTGATTCCTTCTCGCCTTGTTGATCTTCCCTATTTCGATCCTCTAGTGGCGCTCTGGGTGAGTCTCGTCAAGAGTGTATGTTCCGGGTCAGGTTCAAGTCCTGACTCGGCAGAATCAACAACCCGGACCGGGCCGGTATAGAACTCCTCAGGAATTCAACGTAGGAATGGATGCGCGCATGAGAGTGAGCAGCACTCATCCTGAATGCTGATACTATGATGATGATACTCAGGTTGGTGACAGCAATGATGTGACACAGATCTCGCGTAGCATCATCAGCTTATCGCCTGACTTTCGCTTTGGTACACAGAAGCAGGAAACGGTACTATCACAGGGCCGGGGCGGTTGTTCCTCAGTGGTCATCTTTCCAAGGTCCTGCGTAAGTTGAGGCTTGGAGCACTCAAAGCGAGCTATTTAAACATACCGTAAATCTAAACGCAGAGTTGTACTCTTTGTGATATCTTTCACTTCAGTACTGGTAAATCGACGGACATGAAAGTTACTCCCGGACCCGGGCAATACACTCAGTAATGATAGCTTCGTCCGAGGGGAATCAGCCCATGGTAATTTCAGGTATACATCCTTCGGTGCAGCCTCCGGTGGTAGTCGTAAGCATTACTTCTAATTCTTAGATGTGTATTCCACGTTGTTGTTCATGAAACATTAGATGTGTTTGCCCTTGCGTCCTGGGTTGGGTATCTAAGTAGTTGTCGGGACTGCAGTTGGGTTTACATGGGTCATGCTGAATTGCCTCACCTCTTCCAAGAGTGGCAACGACAGCATCCTGAGAGTTATGGACTCCTCTCTGTTCAACCATCAGCAACTTGCTCGGGCTTAGGAATCTTCTCAAAAACGGACGTCGCCGAGGGAGATCTCCTCTATGAAGATCGATATCCGCTGGTATCAATGCAATTCGCATATTCTCGCTATAGTGGTGCTTTGTGCTGCCAACACTGTCTTCGTAGCGTTGGTAAACTCCGTGATGCGTTCGATCATGTACTGGCTCTCAAGAACATGTCGCTTGAGGACGACTTCACGACTATAGTCGCCGACATTGCTTGGCTCGATTCTATAATTCAGAGCCCTGTAAGTATATTGTGTAGCTGTGGTGAAGCGCAGTACTGTTCTGAGGACTGCCGCCGCCTTGCTCAACCGGCACATAGTCGGCTTTGTGAGAATTCTGAGATACGCTATGAGCTGCAGGATTTGGCATTGAAGCACAATGAGTTCTTCATGCTGGCAGCTCAGGCAACGTCGATAATGGCGTATCGCATTCTGGAATCCCACTGGACCGTCGAAAGAGCCTTGTCGGAGTTTTTGAGCTTCTCGTCGTGTCCAGCGTTGGAAAAGACAAACCAAGGCGTGCAGGAGTCGTATGGCCTTATAATGCAACTCTTCCCAGATGATCATCTTGCCGAGTTTCGTGACCGATTCACATTGGATGAGTACGTCCGCTTACTGGGTGTATTCGAGGTTAACAACATGCTTGTGAGCTTTGATCATCCCTCGGAAGAGTTGTTCGAGGTGGCACTACGATGCCCTCGTGGTATGGCTCTCGCAAAGAAGGTGGACTGGCATCGACTGCTCGAGCTGGTTCAGCGGCTGGTCCCGTATGATGACGAAGGTGGTCCGAGCTGTTCGCCATTCCCAGAGGTACTTGGCTCGGGGCTCTATCGTGGGGTGGCAGTCACTAATCATTCGTGTTCACCTAATGCAGAAGCTTCATTTGGTGGTTCGCGATGCCTCCGAGTGAAATCATTGAGGCCTGTACATGCTGGAGAGGAGGTCTTCCAAAGTTACATCGATGAGAATCTCCCTTTAGTGGAACGGCAATCTAAGCTCCGCCAGGCTTACGGCTTCGCATGTCGCTGTGGGAAGTGCCGAACGGAGGCTCTGGCTGAGCTGAATCGGCGCCACAAGGATTGCTGTTAAATCGGATTTGTTCTTTGTGTAACCGAGGTGTAGATAAATCTTCTCCACTGCAACGATATGGTTTTGCGTTGGACTGATGGGAAATTATCTATCGTATTGAATCCTGAATCCGCGTTGTAGATACTCGTGGAAATGTTCTCAGGTTTCTCCCTTTGTTGAAGCATGGAAAAATCTTATCGTACTGATGTTGTAGTGGAGCAGCCGGGCATAGGATGGTTCAGAGCTGCTTGCACTCTCACCATGACTGCTGTTGGACTTGGAGTTCTCGCATTACCAGGCACGGCTACTCACTCTGGTTGGCTTGGTAGTCTTTTCGGTCTTCTCGTCGCGTCCAGTATCATCCTCTACAATAACCACCTTCTGTGGAGAGCCCTGCGTCTCGCTGCTAAAGAAGAGGAGGAAGTCGCCAAATGTTATGAGGA